TACTTATAAGTGAAAATATATAAATTGTATTATTAATTAGTGCACATATATATGTTTCTTGTATCAAAAGATGACTAGTCTATCTCAAGTAGTTTGTGAGTTATTAAGGAAAATGTAAAATACCTTACAATTGCCCCCGGTCTCCCTTACAGACGATTGGTTTATGACATCACAGTCCTGATTCGAAAGCATACAGTATCTTGAAGCAGCACTGTACAGAGTACATACGATTGGTGTATGACATCACAGTACTGATTCGAAAGCATACAGTATCTTGAAGCAGCACTGTCCAGAGTACAGACGATTGGTGTATGACATCACAGTACTGATTCGAAAGCATACAGTATGATCTTGAAGCAGCACTGTACAGAGTACAGACGATTGGTGTATGACATCACAGTACTGATTCGAAAGCATGTATGATCTTGAAGCAGCCGAACAACCAATACTTATAAAAGTAATTGGATCAAACATAAAAAATTAAGTATTCCTAACTTTTCAACGTTTACTTAACATATAACAAAAAAATATAAGTTACTAGGTTCACTTAAATGTATGCATAAATAAAATAATAAAAAAAAAACATAATGCATGTCAACTACTACAATAATTGCATAAAAATTAAGTAAATCGATTGTATCATTTTAAGTAACTGTATGAGCCAGGTGATATAGGCTATGCAATTTCCCGTGATGCCTATCCAGACAAAAAATTATGAAACACATGTGAAGACGTTGAGAAGCGGTAAGCTTATTTTTTGTACTTAGGCCTATACACATGATCATTTATTGCATTTTTGGTCAAAAAATTTACTTTTAACTGAATTTCAGAATTGCTACAAATTTTGCATCAACAATTAGAAACGTTTCTTACGAATGCAAACATTTGTAGTCTACATGTTAACGAATGAAATAAGTGTTTTGCACGCGAGTAGCTATATATTGTGTTTTTTCAAAATATATGACCATGATGTTGGCTCGTATATGCATTAATGGTGTGTTCACACCGAACGCGAATTTAATTGCGATAGCAGAGTACATTCATAGTCAATGCAAAGACGCGAAGACGCATCATTCGCGCCGGGCGTCACGAATTGGGTGACTCGTTTGCCGCGAACGTCTTTCTCAGTAGAACATTTTTAACTTGAGCGGGCTGCGGAAGATTCAAGCGTCTAACTAGACGCGACGTGTTTGACACGTTCGGTGTGACCAATTCGGACTGCGCTCTCTCTCCCACGGATAGATTATAGGCCTACTTTATTAGCGAGTTGTTTTTGGATAAAACAAATGTACTTTGCATACTTACAAATTCCCATGTTCTCTATCTCTATTGTCTATAGGCCTACATGGATCGCGGAAAAGGGGGCCTTGGGCGCGGGTTAGCCTACTTTTGGTAACGTTAACATACAAATATTAAATTCGAAAGCACATTGCCTACAGATCCGTGTGCACGATTTATCATTAAATAATGGCAATCTTGATTCTAGCACAATATTATTTTTAAATGACAGCGACAATTCAGTAAATTAAACCTTCAAAATTATTATCAAAATAAGTAAATACCCTTTAAACAAAAGTTTAGCTTCAAATAAAGATTGTAGATCTTTACTGTTTTCCAGTAGTTACTGCTAAAATGTTTTTGAAGAGATTCATTCATAACCTCTGGAGGAAAGTCATTAATTAACTTCTGTTTTGTTTAAATTAATAGATATTATTTAATAGACTATTTTTATATATATATTTATAGGCATTTAATAATGGACTAATTTGTTGCATTTAATTGTTTTTTATTGATTTTTGAAAAAATTACACACACACACACACACACTAAGATTGTTTAATATTTTTAAAAGAAGTCTCTTCCGCCCACCAAGCCTTCATTTCTTTGATCCAAGAAAAACTGTAATATTGTGACTATATTATTATTATTATTTTAACAACTATTTTCTATTTGAATATATTTTAAGATGCAATTTAAATAAATAATAAAGTGAAATGCTTTATTGTGTGTGATTTGCATGTTATTTATTTTAAGACATGTAAGCTGAAGATCTAAACTAAGTTAAAATGGTTGGTTCAACTGATTTAATTGTCTTATTTTATATATATCAATGAGCTTAAATTTTAAGTTAACAGAACTAAGATTTGTTTTGATCTCACATGGCCTGCACTGTGTTGGATTTACTTAAAAGATATGTGCACATTTTTTGATACAAAAATGGTGCATATATATTTTAAGTAAATCCAACTCATCATTTTTTAGAGTGTGGACAATATGAAACTAAAACGACATAAGCTTAATTTAAAATGTCTTAGGAACTACTGGATATTTAGAGGTGGATAAACGCAATTGAAAGGTGGATAAACGCACTTTGGAGGTGCAAACGCAAACGCAATTCCGAATATTGGGAGGTGGGTAAACGGCATTTACGTGCATTTAGCCTCCACTACATCTCTGGGTGTATGTATGACATCACAGTACTGATTCGAAAGCATACAATATACAGTGATCAAATAAAGCAGCAGTATACAGAGTACAGACGATTGGTGTATGACATCACAGTACTGATTCGAAAGCATACAACATACAGTGATCAAATAGAAGCAGCACTATACAGAGTACAGACGATTGGTGTATGACATCACAGTACTGATTCGAAAGCATACAGCAGACAGTGATCGACAGCACTGTACAGAGTACAGACGATTGGTGTATGCAGAGGTGTAGTTGTAAAAAAAGAGGTGGGTAAACTATAAATTCTGGTGGACCAAGACGTGGTCACCAGGTAAGGTGGGCACTGCCTACCGGTGTATGTGTGTCTCCTGATGACATTGCTATATAGGGAGGGCTCGACATTAAGCCTTTTCATACGCTAAGTAAATCTGCCTCACTTGTCCGAGTAAAAAAGTTGCTTGTTCGGATTTTTTTTTTAATTTGACTTATTCTAAAAAATATTCTCATCACTGATATATCAGCTTTGATATTTAAATCACCATATTGTAATTTCTGCACCTTTAAAGGGCACCCCCTCCCCCAATATTATTAAATGTATATGCTTCATATTTCATTTTAAATTCCTACATTTGATCAATAAATTCAATTATTTATCTCTAATAATAAGACACCATAGGGCTGTTACCCTAGGGGTTGATCAAATTAAATCATTTACACTGAAAAATTACAATTGCATGAAATAATGTTATGAAATTGATTTTAATTTACATATAAGAAAGAATGATGCTACTTTTAAACATTTAACACTAAACCGCCAGTAGGTGGTGGCAGGCGACCGTCTTAATGAGTGAAAAAGTTCGTCTTAGGTTTAACAACCTATACTAAATTAACTAAATTAAAGAAACTAAATTAACGACATAAGCTTAATTTAAAATGTCTTAGGAACTAGGATATTTAGAGGTGGATAAACGCAATTGAAAGGTGGATAAACGCACTTTGGAGGTGGGTAAACGCAATTCCCGAATATTGGGAGGTGCGTAAACGGCTTTTGTGCATTTAGCCTCCACTACATCCCTGGGTGTATGACATCACAGTACTGATTCGAAAGCGTATACTTTGATCACCTTGACGAAGCACTATACTGCAGTGTACAGACGATTGGTGTATGACATCACAGTACTGATTCGAAAGCATACACTATACTTTGATCACTTTGACGAAGCACTGGGAGACCGGGGGCAATTGTAACAGGGGGCAATTGTACCACACTCAATTCCTCCAATCAGAAACAAGCTAGAGTGATGACACTTAATCTGTACATGCCCAATAGGATTCTCTCTCTATCTGTGGAAAAGAAGCGTGACATTTTCAACTTTAGCAGAAGTTATTAACGACAAACTGATTTTGAGGTGTGAAAGTTATTTTTTGGATGTACAGTATTTTTCTTCTGCTGTCTAAAGTTTAGATGTCTGTCAATTTAAACTTGTATACATTTTATCCCTAGGTTATTGATTAAAAACGAACATGAACAACACTGTAACACTGTGTTACAGTTGCCCCCGAGCCACAAGGTCCATTGTAATAAGCTTGTTTGTGTGTGTTGACATACTTTTCTGTTTAAAAAAAATGAACATATTTCACTAAATTCTATTGTAAAACTTCATTTTAAAAGGGTGTATTAAAATAAATGTTTGTTCCAGTATTAACAAATCATCAATTAACATTTTTTATATAAAATAATGTGTTTTATATGTGCTTGACACAAGTGGGAATAAATATAAACTCTTAAAATTAACAGCAGTAACGTGATTACTTTGACGTATGCTTTTATTTGAGATAAAGTGGGTTAATAGGAGTTATTTCTCAGTGTTACAATTGCCCCCACACTGCATTTAATTAAATATTTTAGTCTTGTACTTATAAGTGAAAATATATAAATTGTATTATTAATTAGTGCACATATATATGTTTCTTGTATCAAAAGATGACTAGTCTATCTCAAGTAGTTTGTGAGTTATTAAGGAAAATGTAAAATACCTTACAATTGCCCCCGGTCTCCCTTACAGACGATTGGTTTATGACATCACAGTCCTGATTCGAAAGCATACAGTATCTTGAAGCAGCACTGTCCAGAGTACAGACGATTGGTGTATGACATCACAGTACTGATTCGAAAGCATACAGTATGATCTTGAAGCAGCACTGTCCAGAGTACAGACGATTGTGTATGACATCACAGTACTGATTCGAAAGCATGTATGATCTTGAAAGCAGCCGAACAACCAATACTTATAAAAGTAATTGGATCAAAACATAAAAAATAAGTATTCCTAACTTTTCAACGTTTACTTAACATACACTGTAAAACCTAACAGTTGTACTAGCTCATAACTAATGAGGTCATTACAGTCAAATGTCCTTATGCAGTTGAACAAACTATTAAGTAATTGAGCTCTGTTGACATTTATACCACTTTAATTGAAGGGCTCAAAATTTGATAGTTAATTTGTGTGGAGCACTCAAAAAGTTTAGGAGAGTAGTGGCATGACGTCATGACGTGGTGGGTGGGTCTTATCTCTGCCTCAGGAAAGCTGAGTCAGCCATCTTGAATTTGCCTTCATGCGGAGAAGTTTTCATGGAAGTTTTTACAGTTTAATTTGTTTTTATTCGTTTGCAATGCATTTTTTATCCCCTCACTTCAAACCAAGACCTCAGTTTTTTCATCTTTGACCTGCCGTCATTTCAGCGCCGTCTTATCAGCGCCGTCTTATCAGCCCTGATTTGGTAAGTAATGCTAACATTTTTTGTTGTTGTTTTTAATTGAATTTCGATAAATAGTCTTACATTTGGAACTGGGAATACATGTATATAATATGCACAGTGAATATTTGTTGTAAATAGTTTACAAATCCGAGTAATTGTAACTAAAAATGTTTGAATCTAACAACGGTGTACAGTTGGCGGGTTTCCGGAAGAACTACATTTCACATAATGCATGTTTTCCCGGGACATTGACGTAGAGGAACGACCGTGAGTTTGAATTTTCTCGTGGAGTCCGAAACGCTCCCACTGTCTATGGTCCGAAAGCATAACGTTAACTTATCCCTGCTTCCCAGTTTCTGCCGGCTGTTGTTTTCGCTGGTAATGCATGTAAAGTAACATTTTACTTATTTGTAAGTGTCCGCGTTAAACAGTAAGTATTTCGCGTTGACGAGCTGTGTGTTTGTGTGCAGCACCAGCGTGAATCTATGCTAAACAACATAATGTCAGTGTGTTATCATGAAACCAACAAGGTCTTGTGTGTATTTCTTTCCAGGCTCGAGTGTTTGGTTGTGAGATGATCATCTAGGAATCTTTTTTAAAAGTTCAGGTAGGATGTATTATGAAATATGTTATTAACAATTGGTTTTATTTTGTGTTTCCACTGTCATTTTTTGCCATTTCTTTAGATGCTTTTATCACTTGAATCCTTTATTAATACTTTGTTAGTATTAATGAAACAAAACATCAACAGAAATAGCATATACACACACAACTTTGATGCTGTGCTTGTTATTAACTAACTTTTCATTTTACTAAAATTACTGTACAATGAATGTTTTTGATAGATTTGAACATTTTGGATTTTTGTCTGTAAATTTACTTTTTTACATTTAATTTATCATTTTGTATCGTTTAAAAATGTTTTTAGAACATTGACTAATCATCTTTGTGTGCATGTTGTGTATAGATATTGAACTTGAGTGCTACAGAGAGTCAGCGTTTCACCATCAGACAGTTGCCAATAGGTGAGATTTGTAAATTGTTTACTGATATGATTTTTTTTTAAAAGCAGATTGAAATGAAAAGTATTCTCTATTTGATAACATTATACAGCCTGTTTTAAATTAAAGAATGACAAATAACTTTCTATTTTGACATTGGTTCTGACTCATCCCTAGTAGAATTGCCCTTGTTTTTCCTACCTGGCAACTGAAAACTTAAACTAAAAATACGTTCACAAGTCTCTCCATGTATTGCAGAGTTTCACCGAATCAACAACATTAACCTGCAAATCAATTCTACAAGGAGCTGGACAGACACATGCCTAAACTCATCACCTGAGACAAGGCCACCAAGACTGTCAAGACAGTGGAGGAGCTGCCAAATTCATGAGGATTGTATGACCTTCAGGTGAATTTTAAACTTAACATGATTCAGAAACAGATTATTTACAGATTATATTCAGTCAAATAAGAACCATAGTGAATTGCCTGGACTGTGCCCTGAGGCTAATAGATTATTCCATGAACAACATTGTCATATCATCAGAGATAGACATCCTGACAAGATGTATTTTCATCAGAAAGAGGTACCTTTTAAAAGATACTTTCAGTTTCAATTTGAAGATATCAAAATAACTACTGTCTGCATTCATGAAATTTTGTTTACAATTTTAAGTTTTTTTCCTTTTTTGTGTTATTCAAGTATTTACAATAGAAAGTAATTTATTTTAAAAATGTTTTAATGAAGAAATGGTGAACCAAAAAACTGAATCTACCATTCTATAGCAAAGACCACCATCAGAATATGGAGCTATTTAACACTTTTCTTTTTAAGTGTTTGTTCTGCATTTGTGTAATTACTTTTGTAATGTATATTTTTTGTCCATCTAGGAACAACGTGATGTAAATATGAGATGGGACCTCATCCTTGGTGCACTTCCTGTCTACCTGCATGAAGATTCTTTAAGTTCTTCAGGACCTGTAATGTAAGTGTACTGTCCTCACTATCAATCCCTTTGCCTTGCTATTCGGCAGCTTAAACATATCTCTCCAAAAACTATAGGAAACCAGGCGGGTATTTCAGAAAGCAGGTTATGTGAAAACTCTTGACTTATCCTTCCAGAGGGCTATTCCAGAAAGGAGGTTCAACAAACTCTAAGCCTAACCCTGAACTCTGAGTTGACTTACCCTGAGTTTTTAGTTGCAGAATAGCTGATCTGAGTTAGGTAATTTAACTCCGAGTATGTTAACTCTTGAGTTGAGCTTGTGCTTCACGAGCAGTATAAAGCCATCAATGGAGCTCTGATACTGTGATTCTCCATGGCAATTAAGAAGCATATTTAACTTAATTTCTGGGTCTGTTACTGTGGTAACTTACGTTGTGAACCTAAAGATTTGCTTGAAGAAACCCTGAGTCTTACGGAGCTGCCTGACAGCAGCTGTCCTTTCTTTTTTAGTCCAATCATGTTGAAGCAGAAATAATTCACATAGTTTGATTCATTTTGATGAGCTCTCACTCCCTGACAAGGACTGAACCGAACAGTAGACCGCTCTCTCATCAGTCCGCAATTTATATACTTCGGCCGCACAGTGAATATCAGACTACACGTCATTGCTGATGTGCTCTCACATCAGAACAATCGTCTTTGTTTTAGCTTCTTTTTTTTTTTCACCAGCCGGCAGAAAAAGAGAAATAACTAATAATACTATAATAATAATATTTTAGAGTACCTAACTCAGATCAGCTATTCTGCAACTGAAAACTCATGGTAAGTCAACGCAGAGTTCAGGGTTAGGCTTAGAGTTTGTTGAACCTCCTTTCTGGAATAGCCCCCAGGACCTGAGTTGTTATTCTTAAGTAAACTGTTATTCTCAAGTTATTATAAATGAAAAGGTAAGTATAAGCTTTCCACAAAAAGTATGCCAACAGATAGGTGTGAAACTAACATAAGATATAAGCATATGTAAAGAAAATAGTTTAAACATGTAGGCTTAGTAGTTGTCTAAGTGTCAGTAATGTTTAGAGATCATTGCATGTTTGTATCCTTGAGCGGCTAAACTCATTCTTGTATTATTTGTGTTTTATAGTCAGGAGTTGGTCCAGACCTCACCGATACTCCAGTGGCTCTCCTGACAGTCGTAACGGATAACACTACTGATGCAGCCCTCTTCTGCCCTGAGAGTATCTGTCGTGAAGGATAAAACACTTGCAAGCTCCTTTTGTGTCTTTTAAAAGCACATTGTTGAATAAAAAAGTTGCTAAAATTGTCACAGTGGTGTCACTTCATCTTTTCTGACATTATTAGCTGAGTAAAATTGTGTAGTTGGCTGACATCAGGATTTTAGTTTAGAGTAAATGTTGAGTGCATATCCCACTTTAATGAGTAGAAAACTATAGGAAATTTAGTGCATTTCCTACATTATGAGTTTAAGAAAAGTGAAATTGATGAGTATTATCTGACATTTTATGAGTTTAAGAAAAGTGAAAATTTTGAGTGTATTTCCAACATTTTGATTTGAAGATAATTGAAATTTTTGAGTGAATTACTCACTAATTTTAAGTTGAGAAATATCAATATTTTTAAGTTAACATTGAGATAATTTAAGGCAACATTAAATATAACTTTTAATTTAAGTAAACTTAAAACTTTTAAAAACATCACTCAAATATTTTTGTGTAATCTGTTACAAAATAATTTTTGAGTTCTGTGAACTTATCCGGGTTTACAGTGTATAACAAAAAAATATAAGTTACTAGGTTCACTTAAATGTATGCATAAATAAAATAATTAAAAAAAAAACATAATGCATGTCAACTACTACAATAATTGCATAAAAATTAAGTAAATCGATTGTATCATTTTAAGTAACTGTATGAGCCAGGTGATATAGGCTATGCAATTTCCCGTGATGCCTATCCAGACAAAAAATTATGAAACACATGTGAAGACGTTGAGAAGCGGTAAGCTTATTTTTTGTACTTAGGCCTATACACATGATCATTTATTGCATTTTTGGTCAAAAAATTTACTTTTAACTGAATTTCAGAATTGCTACAAATTTTGCATCAACAATTAGAAACGTTTCTTACGAATGCAAACATTTGTAGTCTACATGTTAACGAATGAAATAAGTGTTTTGCACGCGAGTAGCTATATATTGTGTTTTTTTCAAAATATATGACCATGATGTTGGCTCGTATATGCATTAATGGTGTGTTCACACCGAACGCGAATTTAATTGCGATAGCAGAGTACATTCATAGTCAATGCAAAGACGCGAAGACGCATCATTCGCGCCGGGCGTCACGAATTGGGTGACTCGTTTGCCGCGAACGTCTTTCTCAGTAGAACATTTTTAACTTGAGCGGGCTGCGGAAGATTCAAGCGTCTAACTAGACGCGACGTGTTTGACACGTTCGGTGTGACCAATTCGGACTGCGCTCTCTCTCCCACGGATAGATTATAGGCCTACTTTATTAGCGAGTTGTTTTTGGATAAAACAAATGTACTTTGCATACTTACAAATTCCCATGTTCTCTATCTCTATTGTCTATAGGCCTACATGGATCGCGGAAAGGGGGCCTTGGGCGCGGGTTAGCCTACTTTTGGTAACGTTAACATACAAATATTAAATTCGAAAGCACATTGCCTACAGATCCGTGTGCACGATTTATCATTAAATAATGGCAATCTTGATTCTAGCACAATATTATTCTTAAATGACAGCGACAATTCAGTAAATTAAAACTTCAAAATTATTATCAAAAATAAGTAAATACCCTTTAAACAAAAGTTTAGCTTCAAATAAAGATTGTAGATCTTTACTGTTTTCCAGTAGTTACTGCTAAAATGTTTTTGAAGAGATTCATTCATAACCTCTGGAGGAAAGTCATTAATTAACTTCTGTTTTGTTTAAATTAATAGATATTATTTAATAGACTATTTTTATATATATATTTATAGGCATTTAATAATGGACTAATTTGTTGCATTTAATTGTTTTTTATTGATTTTTGAAAAAATTACACACACACACACACACACTAAGATTGTTTAATATTTTTAAAAGAAGTCTCTTCCGCCCACCAAGCCTTCATTTCTTTGATCCAAGAAAAACTGTAATATTGTGACTATATTATTATTATTATTTTAACAACTATTTTCTATTTGAATATATTTTAAGATGCAATTTAAATAAATAATAAAGTGAAATGCTTTATTGTGTGTGATTTGCATGTTATTTATTTTAAGACATGTAAGCTGAAGATCTAAACTAAGTTAAAATGGTTGGTTCAACTGATTTAATTGTCTTATTTTATATATATCAATGAGCTTAAATTTTAAGTTAACAGAACTAAGATTTGTTTTGATCTCACATGGCCTGCACTGTGTTGGATTTACTTAAAAGATATGTGCACATTTTTTGATACAAAAATGGTGCATATATATTTTAAGTAAATCCAACTCATCATTTTTTAGAGTGTGGACAATATGAAACTAAAACGACATAAGCTTAATTTAAAATGTCTTAGGAACTACTGGATATTTAGAGATGGATAAACGCAATTGAAAGGTGGATAAACACACTTTGGAGGTGCAAACGCAATTCCCGAATATTGGGAGGTGGGTAAACGGCATTTACGTGCATTTAGCCTCCACTACATCTCTGGGTGTATGTATGACATCACAGTACTGATTCGAAAGCATACAATATACAGTGATCAAATAAAGCAGCAGTATACAGAGTACAGACGATTGGTGTATGACATCACAGTACTGATTCGAAAGCATACAATATACAGTGATCAAATAAAGCAGCAGTATACAGAGTACAGACGATTGGTGTATGACATCACAGTACTGATTCGAAAGCATACAATATACAGTGATCAAATAAAGCAGCAGTATACAGAGTACAGACGATTGGTGTATGACATCACAGTACTGATTCGAAAGCATACAACATACAGTGATCAAATAGAAGCAGCACTATACAGAGTACAGACGATTGGTGTATGACATCACAGTACTGATTCGAAAGCATACAGCAGACAGTGATCGACAGCACTGTACAGAGTACAGACGATTGGTGTATGCAGAGGTGTAGTTGTAAAAAAAGAGGTGGGTAAACTATAAATTCTGGTGGACCAAGACGTGGTCACCAGGTAAGGTGGGCCACTGCCTACCGGTGTATGTGTGTCTCCTGATGACATTGCTATATAGGGAGGGCTCGACATTAAGCCTTTTCATACGCTAAGTAAATCTGCCTTTCACTTGTCCGAGTAAAAAAGTTGCTTGTTCGGATTTTTTTTTTAAATTTGACTTATTCTTAAAAAATATTCTCATCACTGATATATCAGCTTTGATATTTAAATCACCATATTGTAATTTCTGCACCTTTAAAGGGCACCCCCTCCCCCAATATTATTAAATGTATATGCTTCATATTTCATTTTAAATTCCTACATTTGATCAATAAATTCAATTATTTCTAATAATAAGACACCATAGGGCTGTTACCCTAGGGGTTGATCAAATTAAATCATTTACACTGAAAAATTACAATTGCATGAAATAATGTTATGAAATTGATTTTAATTTACATATAAGAAAGAATGATGCTACTTTTAAACATTTAACACTAAACCGCCAGTAGGTGGTGGCAGGCGACCGTCTTAATGAGTGAAAAAGTTCGTCTTAGGTTTAACAACCTATACTAAATTAACTAAATTAAAGAAACTAAATTAACGACATAAGCTTAATTTAAAATGTCTTAGGAACTAGGATATTTAGAGGTGGATAAACGCAATTGAAAGGTGGATAAACGCACTTTGGAGGTGGGTAAACGCAATTCCCGAATATTGGGAGGTGTGTAAACGGCTTTTGTGCATTTAGCCTCCACTACATCCCTGGGTGTATGACATCACAGTACTGATTCGAAAGCGTATACTTTGATCACCTTGACGAAGCACTATACTGCAGTGTACAGACGATTGGTGTATGACATCACAGTACTGATTCGAAAGCATACACTATAGTTTGATCACTTTGACGAAGCACTGGGGAGACCGGGGGCAATTGTAACAGAGGGCAATTGTACCACACTCAATTCCTCCAATCAGAAACAAGCTAGAGTGATGACACTTAATCTGTACATGCCCAATAGGATTCTCTCTCTATCTGTGGAAAAGAAGCGTGACATTTTCAACTTTAGCAGAAGTTATTAACGACAAACTGATTTTGAGGTGTGAAAGTTATTTTTTGGATGTACAGTATTTTTCTTCTGCTGTCTAAAGTTTAGATGTCTGTCAATTTAAACTTGTATACATTTTATCCCTAGGTTATTGATTAAAAACGAACATGAACAACACTGTAAGTTAACACTGTGTTACAGTTGCCCCCGAGCCACAAGGTCCATTGTAATAAGCTTGTTTGTGTGTGTTGACATACTTTTCTGTTAAAAAAAAAAATGAACATATTTCACTAAATTCTATTGTAAAACTTCATTTTAAAAGGGTGTATTAAAATAAATGTTTGTTAACAAATCATCAATTAACATTTTTTATATAAAATAATGTGTGTTTTATATGTGCTTGACAAAGTGGGAATAAATATAAACTCTTAAAATTAACAGCAGTAACGTGATTACTTTGACGTATGCTTTTATTTGAGATAAAGTGGGTTAATAGGAGTTATTTCTCAGTGTTACAATTGCCCCCACACTGCATTTAATTAAATATTTTAGTCTTGTACTTATAAGTGAAAATATATAAATTGTATTATTAATTAGTGCACATATATATGTTTCTTGTATCAAAAGATGACTAGTCTATCTCAAGTAGTTTGTGAGTTATTAAGGAAAATGTAAAATACCTTACAATTGCCCCCGGTCTCCCTTACAGACGATTGGTTTATGACATCACAGTCCTGATTCGAAAGCATACAGTATCTTGAAGCAGCACTGTCCAGAGTACAGACGATTGGTGTATGACATCACAGTACTGATTCGAAAGCATACAGTATGATCTTGAAGCAGCACTGTACAGAGTACAGACGATTGGTGTATGACATCACAGTACTGATTCGAAAGCATGTATGATCTTGAAGCAGCCGAACAACCAATACTTATAAAAGTAATTGGATCAAACATAAAAAATTAAGTATTCCTAACTTTTCAACGTTTACTTAACATATAACAAAAAAATATAAGTTACTAG